AGTATAGTCACTCTGTTTTTGCTGTAGCACAGCAGATTATAAATCTCTGTTGTTCTTTTTAATGGATGTGCGTTCAACCACAAGAGGGCCCATTGGGATTCTGAAGTGGTATAGCCCTGAAGCAGGTTTTCTTCCTCATAAAATGTGAAGAAAACAAAGTCTTAGCTTCTTCTGTTCTTTTAACACATGGTGCTACTCAGTCATCAAGATCATCTTCGGATATTGATGGCTAGAAATTTACCATCCAGAACAAGAGTTCAGAGAACACACATAAGTATCCTCCCTCAAAACTTCATGTTGCCTATCCTTGTCTGAACTGGGAGAGGCAAAATAGCTCATAAACTGAAAAACAGACTGCATAATTTCAGCTGAAATCAATCATGGTGCTAACATCTTGATTCAGAATTCCTGGCTCTTTGCCTCTGAGGGCAAAAGTACTTCAAATTGCATTGCTCCATTTATCACAACTCACATATCATTCAGAATTGGAGCAAACATGCTATTCTGACTCAGCGTCATTCAGCTAACTATAATATTGAATGTGAGTTAGCGCTGGCCTTTCATGCCCTTGTCACTTTGAAATTATAATGCTGTTTTCTCTGTTCTCTTTCAGGCTGGCCCCTACACCAGCTTGCTCTAAAATAATCATTTCCTTGCACTGATTGACACTTGTGATTGTTCACTGCATGTCTTCTGCAGCCTGGACACTGGAGTTAACCCTGAACCCCCAAAGGAAGCAGAACACATGCAGGTGTATTTGTTCATTCTGCCCTTTCCCTGTCCCTGCCTCATCTGCTATGGCAGATGTCCAGATACCCTGCACTTGTGCAGCAAGCAAGAGCACGGGATGGGCAACATGACTGGGGAGGGCATAAGCAGAGGGCAGCATGGTGGATTCATCTCCCATGTTCAGATCAACCCTGCTGCCTGTCTACTCAGAACTAACTCTGTGTTCTCAGTGGTGCTTCTTACTCCTAGTTAAATGTGCATAGGATTGCAGCTTTGCTTTGTTTTTATGAACTTTGATTTCATTTCAAAATAAAGTTAAAAAACAAAGGCAACAAAAAGAACAACATATGTAATAATATATCACGATCTTCAAAGAAAGGGGGAGATTCACTAATGAAAAGCCTAAATTCAGTGTTCAGATTGCAAAATGGCAACTTGAGTTTCCTTTGCCTCTAGCCATGAAGGCATTCAAATCGCAGTAGTTCTCCAGCCAGCCATGGTCAAAAGTCTCTATGTACAACTACCATACATAAATTAAATGCTGGACAAGGATAGGCTTTCTTTGTCCTTTGCCTTTCCAAGCCTAATTCATCGTGCAGTTGTGTCTCTCTGATGGCAGAACCAAGTTTCTATACTAAAAGTGGGGTGGGGTGCAGAAGGAAACCTGGCAAATACTGGGTTCTACCAAAGATCTTTTCCCCAGGCTCCAACTGATCCTGAAGCAATTCAGGTCAGCAGAAACACTTTAAACTTCCATTAGCAGAGACACTGGAGGAAGCATCATATTTATAAACACTCAGTCTCAGCTTGCAAGGTCAGCTAGACTCAGGTCATTTGGATGCTTTCCGTGGACAAAAGTTAATGCAAGTGGAACAGTGCCTCTGCTCTCAGCTAATCTGTTGGAAGGAGATCCTGCCAAGTTTGTCCTACTATAGCCAGCGTCGCTGCTGTAGAACCAGATCTTGCAGAATACCTTTGTTCCCCACCACTCTGTTTGTCCAGACCAATTTATTTCTAGGAATACTGAAGAGAGTTTTTGAAAAGTCCCAGCTCGGCATGCAAGCCAAATTCAGGTTCCTGCTCTCAGGTGAAAGATAAAGCTGGGTAGAACCTCATCACTGTGTTCATTTTCAGCCTTCAGCAAATTTTTGGATAATGCCTTGCCTTGCCTTGCCTTGCCTTGCCTTGCCTTGCCTGCAAAATAATTTCTACTTCCTTCCAAGATGGGGAACTGGATGAGATGTTTTAATGAATGAATGAATGAATGAATGAATGAATTATATATCCTACCTTTTTTTCTTGTGAGCAACCAAAAGTAGATTACATACTCCCCCCCCCCACCACACACACATTTTCTAATCAAAAAACCTGTGAGGTACATTAGGTTGAGAGTCAGTGACTTGCTTAAAGCCATCCAGTGAGCTGCATGGCTGAACAGGGCCTAGAACTTGGCTTCCCTGCATCTCCATCCAATACTCGCACTATGCTACTACACCAGTTCTTGAATGTTTCAAATTAAAGGGTAAATCGAGACACTTACCACAGCAGTCTGTCAGTATGTTTGGGCTCTGGCTTATCTCTCCCAAAACTGAAGATTATGAAACTAATGGGAGCTGCATTCTGGACTACTAATGTAAGTCATGCATTATCCCCATGGCCAAAAAACAAACCTAAAGAGGAATTTGATGGAACTCATGTTCATGCGCATGCCTTTAAGAATGAGTAAAAGGGTCCTTCCAGGTAACACTTTTATTGCATAATGGCACTGTGTCACTCACAGATATTTATGCTGGTGGGGGGGGGCAGAGTCCAGACACCATAATTTCCTCTTTGTTTTCTCATAACTTCTTCCATTTTTTACTTGCCAGGAAAAAAATAAAGCAGAATAGCTGCACAGTATCTTTTGCTATGTTGGAACCCTCCATCTGGAAGCAACATAAGTCTTTCTGACAGTTAGGCCAAGGGTCAAGTAAGACCTCATTAGATTGCCTCAAATCAATTAGTTTATTCTGTCCTTCCTTATCAACAGCCAAAGCCAGACTCAGAGGTGGCAGGGGAATGAAATTGTTACATTTGTGGGAGGAGGTATGGAAAACAATACATTTTATAGAAAACTGGCTGTTCCCCAGACCTCCCCCTCATATACTTCTCATATACTTCTCTCTCTCTCTCTCTCTCTCTCTCTCCTGTAGAAGACTTTTTTACAGCTGAAATAAAACCATTTTGCTATTCCTTGCTTGCCCTGTGAACTACAGTCTCTGTCTGCATTTTGGGCACCCTTAGCAGTCATATTCAAATTTATTTGAACTTTAGATGCCTTATTACTGCCTCTTCAACTCCATGCAAAGTATGGCAGGGTTAATTGTCAACATTAAGGTACAAGGAAGGATCTTGAATATTCATTTAACTGTTATAGGGATTAATTAATGCTTGTTCAAGGATTGCAAGCCATGTGGCAAGAAGGAAGAAGCCAACATGGGAGAAGAACGTGGGAAGTGCTGTCAACAGAGATGCAGCTGTAGGCCTTGGTAGGCTTCCCTTTGATAATTAGCAGCAATTACTCTGCTAATTGTTTGATATTCACATAGATATCAGTGGGGCAAGTTTTCTAGAAAGCAGAAACTGACATTTTCTGATAACTCAGAAAGAGCTAATCCGTGACATGCCATCATGGCACTCTTTGGCCCCAGTTCCTGTCACTGCTTTACAGGCTGGCCTGGCTGAACACGGAGTTTCCTACTATGTGCTGATTCACTACTGAGACTGGCTTGCCTCTGGGAGAGCATCCAGATCTTGGCAAATCCCCTTCCTGCATCAATCTGGCTGACTAATCTTTTGTTTTAACCCAGTATGAATCAAGACTGGAGAGGGAATCCCAGCACACTCTTCTAATGTCCCCGAGCTCTTTCCTGAAAATAGGCCAGAACTGACATGCTTCAGCACCTAGACAGAGCTGAGGTGAATCACAGGCTCCAGAATTATGCCAGTGAATCAGCATTGACAAAGCACAAAAATATCTCTAAGCTTGGAGAGAAATGAGGCTGGATGACTCAATGGGCAGGAGCTGCCTTATTATCCATGATTTATTGTCTAGGAAGATTCAATTTTGAGCTAGGGACCTCTCAGAGAAAGAAAGGCTTGTGGATCTTATAATCTACAAACCCTTCATAAATTATGCAAACCTATAATCAGCCAAGGTATGTGGTTACAATAAATACCCTGGAGAAGGGCTCCTCTTAATCTTGTTGTTCACAAATTGGAGAAGATTGGGGTCCAACAATTGGCTGAAGTACTGAAAGAGTACTGCCAAGAGTTCCCACTGCCACAAGCTCAAGATGCTGTGGAGCTCTGTAAAATCACAGTTCACTACTCATGTCAATTTTATTTTGTCAATACAAGTTCAAGAGGGGTAACTGTGTGAATCTGTTGCAGCATAAACAGCACAATCTTGTGGCATCTTAAAGAGAAACAGATTTCCAGTAGCACAAGTTTTTGTGGACTAGAGCTCAGACGACATGAGCCTAGTTCATAAAAGCTTATGGTCTGTGGAAGCTGTTTTGTCATTAAGGTACCACAAGACTCTCTTTTCTGTTTTATGGATTTAGGAACCAACAGTCTCTCTTACTAACAAACAAACTGGGTTCTAGAAGCTGCAGCTAAGTATCTCTACCTTAACAGCTTCCCATTTTATCGGCACCACATCGTTGTCATCCTCTTCCCAGTATTTCACTATGGACTGATTTAGTGCAAGCAATGGGAAATCCAGACAGTGTGTGAGAAGAGCCTATAATTAAATAAAAAGACTTTCTTCTCAAGTGCAAACATCAGAAGAGCCAGTGCAGATAAGTGGCTAATCTCTCTCTGTGCGCTGCCAAGAATAGGAATTAAGTGCATGTACTACCTGCTTCTCAGCCCAGGCCCATTTCAGGGTTCTTGGGCTTGCATCAAAGCCCTTCTGACTTGCTTAGATAATTTCAGGCACGTGTGTCCTATGGGCACTACCTGATTACATTTGATCTCCTACAAGCAGGCTGCTCAAGGGCGAATTAGGTGACTTTGTCAAATCCTTGTGGATCTACCACACAAAGCTAGTTTTCAGCTGAGGAAAGTGTTTCCCAGCTACCTTCTGCGGCAGGATGCTTAATGTACCACTACAGAGCTTCACCTATGAATCAGCCAAAAGAATAATGCGGGATGGAAGATGGCAAAGTGCACAGTGCATCTTGAGAAAAGCCCAGACCCAGCCGGCCCCCTTTCCCTGGTCCGCTCACATGGTGGAGTTCGGATACTGCACCCCGCCCACCTCCTTGTACGCGCTGGTCACGTGAATGTAGATGAGGCTCCTCATCTTAGCCCAGGCTCTCTGGACCTCTGGAGCAGCGAACTCGTTGGCATATTCTTCTGCAAGCACTTCCAGCATAACGCCGGTGAGGATCTGAGAAGGAAGCAGCAGCAGTCAGAATGGTTTCCCACTTCCTCCCTTACCCTTTACATCAAGTAGTAGCACTGGCCAATTATTATTGTTGTTGCTGCCATAATGAATTTTTCATAATATTCATAATAATTATAATATATAATAATAATAATGGGTTCATTCATAATGAAAGAAAAAAATAGCAGATTTGTATACTGCCCTTCAGTGCACCAATAACAGGTTTAATGATGTTGGTTTATAACCAACATCATTAAAAATGAAATCTTGAAGTATAAATTTAAAAAAAACCTTAAATCAGTCTTTGTCAGTGTGGTGCTCACCAGATAATTTGGACTATGACCCCCATCGTCCCTGGCCATTGGACATGGTGGCTGGAACTGGTTGGAGTTGTAGCCAAAAACACGGGTAGGACAAGCAGCCTCCACCGCTTGTGCAATAGTGACTTAACGCTTCTTAGAGAAAGCCCTTTCATTTCTGGAGGGAGGGAGACTGGCAGAACTTACATAAGGGAGCTCTGCTAACCTCCTACCTCCTTCCAGAAATGAGCCATTGCACTCATTTCAGAGCTTGAGAGGCCTAAATCCTGAGCCAATAGCAGGATGACCACTCTGTGCTGCTGCAGGCAAGAGAAAGTGTCTGACGACAGTTTGCAAATGCCAGTTGGGCAGTTAGGGGGCAGCTGTCAGTGGCACACGCCTGGCAGCTGCTGGCCAAGAGTGGCAAGGGATCTTTGCTGCTGTCTTCAAGCAGCTCGCTGGCTGCTGGGGCTTACCCCTAGTAGGTTGTGCCCTCTGGGTCCTGATGACCTACTGCAGGTGACAACAACTCTAGAATAGCCCACAGAAAATGCAGGATGGCTTGTCTGAAAAGGCAGGCCACCTGCAGTCCCTATTGGCACAATACAATAACCCATCTATTATAACTAACATGAGTAGGCTGTTGTGTTGTCTGAACCCGGTCTATGCATTTATTTCAGCTGCTTCCATTTTGATATATTTGTGGTAGGGCACAGGGACTAAGGGATGGATCAGTATTAATCAATCTCGTATCTAATCAGGTGTAGCAAAACTATGAGGGAGGCAAGTTTGCTTGAGTAATTTGAAGTTGTTTGTATTGCAAACAACCTTCTGCACTGTATCTGCTCTTTGCTCATGCTGCGCTATAATGTGGATTGCATAGCTGAACTGTGAGTATGAGTGGATGAAAAGTTCCAGTCAGAAGGCATAATCAGTGAGAGCCGGTGTGGTGTAGTGCTTAGAGTACTGGATGGGAACTTGAGCTCTACTCCTCACTTAGCCATGAAGTTTACTGGGTTACTTTGGGCCAGTCTTGACTCTCAGCCTAGCTCACCTCAAAGAGTTGTTGTTATGAAGCTAAAATGGAGAGCAGGGGAACAAGGTAAGCTGCCTTGGGCAACTTGGAAGAGGAAAGAAGGTGTGATGCAAATAAAATAATACTGAAATAAATAAACAACTAGCACAGTATAGTGCTTTTTGCTTTATGCTTTTTCCCTGCTTTATTTGAAGTCCATGTTTAGTCTTTTGTTAATTAATAACCAAACGCTTTTGTTGTTGTCTTTACTGCAGAGGGAAAAATGCAAATAAAAGGCTCCTCACTAGAGGAAAAGTGCTGTGGAATAATAATGATGATGATAATGATAATATAGAAATAGTATACCTTAAAGTAGACCGGTTCAACTTTGTGTTTGACAGCATGCGCCTTGCCCACCAAGGCTAGAACAGAGGAGACTTTTTCTGAATCGTAGATGTTTTCCACCACGCTGTTAATGGCCCCCATGACTCTCCTGGCGTGTTTACGCAGCTGCAGACTCCTTTCCATCTCTAGTGGGTCCTCCATGTGCTTGAATTGGCTGAAGTACTGCTTGGCAGATGGGAAGTTGACAAAAAACCTGCACAGGGCCATTAAGGAGAGAACAAACAGGAAAGCCAAGTCAGTCCCGGAGAAAGCTGCCAGGGCGAGACCTTGCAAATCAGGGGCTGGGTGGTGAGGCTGAGGTGCCCGGCTGCCTGGAGGTGAACTCTGTGCCACAGCTGCAGCAGGCCTCAGGCAACATGTGAAGCCTACAGGCAGTATTTCAGGGGCTGAGGAGGTGATTGCTTTTTAAAATTTACTGCTTCTTAAAATTGGAGTGCATTACAAAGCATCCCCCCCTTCCCGCCCATGTATCAGCAGTGGTGCTCTTCTGTGCCTTATCCTGCTGCAGTGTGAACCAGGCTTCAATCGGCCTGCTTTAGGGTGAGTGTGAGGTGAGTTCCACGCTCGCTGGGTGGGTTCACATGTAACGGTGACCCATCATGGTAAATCTCCACCATGGGTTGCTGTTGTGCCAAGTAGCCACAATGATCCTGACGGACAATCAGGGTCATTGAGGTTGCTCCCACACCCCCCCCCCCCCTTATTTCTTGCAGGAGACACTGCAGGGAAGAATATGGCTCTTCTCTGTGACAGCGGCTGTTATTCTGGCTTGCTGTGGCTGTCAGAGAGCCTGACAGCTCTCTGTCAACAGGCTTACACTGTGAAGCGCAGCAGAGTGGCCTGGAGAGCTCATCTGGTGTGGTGGTGGTGCTGCTGCTGGGGCAATTGGCTGGCTGCTACTGCTGGAAGGGGCGACGTCACCCAGCTATCCCCTCACTGCAAACAGAGCATCCCTGCCAAGCCCAGCTCGCCTTGCTCGCCTGCTCTGGAGTAGGCCACTTGGGCAGGGGATGGCAGGGGTGTGAAGAGAATCAGGCACCCCTGCTGAGTCTATGGGCCACCCTCCCAGTGCCTGCGTGGCTTCATCTCAAGCAAGAGTGTGGCGGGGAGCATCCCTGAGCATTGCTGCAAGCCCATGGCCCCATTCCCTAGAAGGCTCTGGCCCTCAGCATCCCCACCAAGCCAGCTCCCACCTCCTGCCCAAGTGGCTCACTTCCAGGCAGGGGCTGGAGGCCAGGGATCTGCTTGGAACAGCTCTGCCCAACTATCTCCACTCCCACCTTCTGCCCTGGATTAGGTGTCTGCCTCTGATGGCTGTGCCAAGCCTGGGGGGCTGCCAGCTACATCTCTAGGTAGCCACTTGGCAAGAAAGGGGCTTTCCGCACGATGGCTTGTGTTGTCCAAGTTCATCCAAAAGCAACTGCGGTCAAAAGAAACCCTGGAACAGTCTGTTGTTTCTTTTTGTGTTTCTCAACCACGATAAATCACCATGGTAAATCACCATAAATCACCATGACTGAATGATAGCAATCAACAGTTGCTCTTCATGTGAACCCAGTCAGCGGTTGTAACACGAAGTAATGATGTGCATGTTTCTAGCAGCTATAGTTGATCAAATTCCAACGACAGAGTGTTTATATTGGCCCCATATTTCCTTCAACACAATACTTTCAGTGGAGACAGCTCACACACTTAGCTCACCCCAGAGTGAACTGCACACATGAATGAGCGAATCAGTCCATAGTTTGAGGAAAGGTGGATCAATACTTGCCTAAGAATGAGAAGAAGACTTCTGTGCACTTTGTTTAAAGCTAGCTAGAGTGCTGGCAACCAGAAGAGTGCCTTTCTTATTTGGACAGCGTGACCCAGTCTCTTAGGGTAGGCTTATAGAGAGCCAGGTTCAAATCTCTACCCACTGGGTAACCTTGGCCCTTTCGTTTTCTCCCAACCTAACCTGTTGTGAGAATAAAGGTATGCTGGTTGTGGAGTGATGTCTACCACCTTTATGTGAGTGGGGAAAAAACAGGATCGTATTCAGTGGTTGCACAAGGCAAAGACAGATTGTATAACCATAGGAAATATACCATAATAAGTACATTTTCTTCAAGTGTCATTTATCTCAAAGAAGCATCACGTTCCAAAAGCTGCCTTATGCACCACTATCTGAGTACAATTTGGGGTGTTTTATAACAAGACATTTCTGTATACAGCAATGTCATATCTAAGGCTGAACACAGCATATGCACAGTTGTCCATGATCAAGCAAAGTGTGGAAATCTATGTGTGGAAAAGTACCCAGTGCTGGAAAAATGTTCAGAGCTGTCTGAACCGGACACTCTGTGTATAAATGGGTGATTTGTGAAGCACTCATCTGCTGGCTGGTACTGCATTTTTGGGATTACATTGGTCCATGCTTGCAGCACCTCACCCATGGTCAGTGGCGCTGGATTTAGACCTAATCGGGTGGGGACACTCAAGAGCACTAGACCCTGCTAACTTCAGTGAGACTTATGCAGAAAAACCTCCCATGGCCTTTATCAGTAAACATCAAGTAAAGCCGCATACCCTTTAACAACATCAGTGACTTTTTGGAGGGTTCAAGATGCAAAAACTAAGTGCAAAAGGCCCTTTTCTTCTTTTCCTTCTAACAGATGGTTGGTTTTGTGCCAACCATCCATTAGGTAGGTGCACAAATGTAGATTCATGCATGTCATTGCATGTGGGAAATCCAGATCAGAGCCATATGGTAACGTAATATTTAGAATGATTAATTTTCACATGTAATGATGAATTTTCAATAGCTTGGCTAATTACAGAATAAACAGATACCAGCATTGAGGTAACATTCAGTTCATGCAAAGCTGATTTTTTTGAGAGCACAGAACCATGGATTGTTATCTTTGAGCCCAGAACCATGGATTTTTCATGGCTTTGTTCCCTAGGCTATAGAATTGGTAGCCAAAAGAGACAGAAAAAACAGTTGCTCTACATGCTAGGACTACACTGCCTCAAAAGCATTTGGGATGTAGGGAGTGAGCATCAAAGAATGAATTCAGGGAGGTAAACAAGCTGCTGAGGGACTAAGAAGACAAACAGCTGTCTTCCAGACAAACCCTAGGTAGGTCTACAAACCATTGGCTAAGTTAGTGTAAAGCAAGAAAGTCGCTTAGTGAGATCCATGACTGGGTGCTTGAAAAACATCTTCCATAGGATTTCAGCAGAGGTCTTCCTGCAGTCCTTCTGAGCCACCCCCCTCCCCATTCCAAACACCAAAAGCTCTTGGGCAGCTGTTTCTGCTCCTTCTCTACCTGTGGCATGGAAAGGCATCCCAGGATACCTTAACCCATGCTTGTTTTGTTGGAAATCAAACACCTTGCTAGACCCACCTGCCTACTTTATGGAGGCTGTCACAAAAAGGAAGGACAAGATCTCTTCTTGTTCATCCCAGAGTGTAGGACAAGGAATAATCAGCTCAAGTTGCAACGACCCAAGTTTAGGCTAGATATCAGGAAAAGTTTCGTCACTGTCAGAGCAATACGGCAGTGGAACCAGTTGCCTAGAGAGATTGTGGACTCTCCCACAGTGGACAGCCCCCTGGGTGGGATGATGTAAATTGGTGTCCTGCAACAGCAGGGGGTTGGACTTGATGGCCTTCTTGGCTCCTTCCAACTTACTATTCTATGATTCTGTGATTCTGTTTCACCCTGGTACAGGCAAAATCACTCCACCCTAATGTCACCTCCATTCCAAGGTCCTGACTTGCTCCTCCAGCACCCTTTACGCACGCACGCACGCACGCATGCACACATGCCATTACTGAGAAGCAGGCTCTTCTGTTTCCCACTTTATCGTGCTTTTCCCACTTGGCTGAATCTCACCCAGGAGGTTGCCAGGAAAGCCGTGTGAAGCCGCGAATGGAATAACCATAGCTCCTGCTGCCTTCCCTAGACATCTGGGATTCATCAGCCAGCCTAAAATAGGTTTTGATGTGTGAAGAGTGTATGGCAGCAAAAGGAAGGACAATAATAAAAAAAAAGACTAGAGCTTGAGGGGTGAGTGGGAGGATTAAGTTGTTTGTAAGATGAAAAAGAAAGGGAATTGCTTTCCTCCCTTTTCTGTTTTCTTTAGCCAAATTAAATCCAAATGCCAGTCTATGAATTTGTTTTTGACAAAATAAGGAGTGTGCACATAAGGGTTTGTTTGCTTTTAAACTCCTGGGTGCTTCTGAATGGCAGTGCTCAGGACAAGTTTGTCTAGTGTTTTCTTCAGCAGGTAAGGGCTCCAGCTCAACACCATACCTGTTCCCCTGTTAGGGAGAGAGATAGGCAGACCTGCTCCAGAGTCCCAGAGGCAGGGCCCTTTTTGGGAAAATACTGTAGCAGTATTTCATTAAAGCACTCTGGGCAGCTTCCATTAAAAAAAGCACAGCACGGCACGGCACGGCAAAGTAGAATGGATAGTCCTTTATAACTTTTCTGTTACAGAAAAGCAGACAAAAATGCAAAACAATGAGTTAGGTGAGGAGATGCTTCACTAAACTGGGATGATCAAACATGGACCCCGAATTTACATTTCCCCCCAGTTTTTTTCCAGCTACTTCACAAGTACAAAGTGGTCCTATCCCTACCCTCTGCCCTATTTGGAGCAGCTGTAATCAAACAAGGTGTATTTTCTCCAGGCACTTCATTGAGGAAGAGCAGGAAATGAATGGCAGATGGAAAGGTGAAAGCACCCTTTGTCTCCAGGTTGGGCAAGGGGTAAATACCCTCATGTCCCAGAGTGAAATGGTCATGAAGGAGAAACCATGAAAAACAGTGAGTAGAAGACACCATACTCTGTGGTGCTGTTCTTGGTAACATTACTCTTGAGAAACCACAGAACTTGGAGAGCAAAGAAATTAATGTTAGTCATCACAGGAGGAGAAATGCAAGGAGGGGAAATGTGCCAGGGTTCCTGCGGGCTGCAGAGGGAACTTCCTGGGGGTTCCACGTGGCTTGCACTCTGCCCACCCTTCCATCACACACTTCCCAGTGCCGCGTAACATAAGGCTGGGTTCCTACAACGTGGGCCACCGTGTAGAAAGCTATGTAGCGTGGCCTGTTTGCTCCACAACCCTGAATGTGCCCAACGTATAGTCAGATAGAGCAGATGTCATGAGGCACCTCCTCCACCCTTTTCCCACCCTCAGTCCTC